AAAAAAAAAAAGAATCTCTCGGGGACTTTTCTGCCCAGGCTGGCTTCCAACGGTGATCCTCAGATCTCGGCCTCTTGAGTAGCTAGATTACAGGCGTGAGCCGCCAGCACCCAACTCACTGCCCTTTCTTCTCATTTCCCTCAACTGAGATCACACCGCTCCCAGAATTCATTTAGCAGTTCCTTTAATACTTGACCTTGAGATCCTTCCTGAAAGCTGTTTACTCTCTGCCCTGCACTCCTGTGCATGTACCTGTTTGTACAGCATGGCCATATCTCCACGTATTGTATATCTGTGCACAAGTACAAGTGCTGAGTATCTTTCTGTCCCATGAGGAATCATTTCCAGCTCCCCCACCCTTCTCACCTGTTCTACCTCGCAGCTCTGCCCTGCCTCACACCCTATAGGGCCCAGGCCTCCCTCCTTCCCTCCTCCCCTCATGCTGTGACCTGTTCTCTCCTCCCTCCTCACCACTCCTACAAGCAGGCTTCACCAGTCAACCAGACACAGGAACTTTCCAGTAGGGCTAGTGTTCAAGGAAGAACTTTCTGTCCTCCCTCCCTCACCCCCTGCACTGGTCCTGAACTTAGGGCCTGGGTGCTGTCCCTGAGCTTTGCTCAAGGCTAGCACTCTACCACTTAAGCCACAGTTCTACTTTCAGCTTTTTTGGTAGTTAAATGAACTGCAATCCTCAGATCTCAGCTTCCACAGTAGCTAGGATTATAGGCGTGAGCCACCAGTGTCCTTTTGACTACTGCCAGTCAAGGGTAGGGCCCATTTGGGCTTCCCTATACTCACTGCATTTCCCTATCCTGCGCTATAAGCAGCCAAAAAGATTCCAACAGAAACGGTTTATGGATATTTCGAATCACATCCACTCACCAGGCCTGGAACCTTAGTGCACAGGCCTAGAACAACACAAAAACCTTTTTTTTTTTTTAGTGGACTCAAGCTGAGATCACACAGACACTGAAATGCAGCTTCTAGGGGAGGAAAGAACCCTAGAGTCTGGGCTTTCTCCCACTTCCCTTCCCACCCTTGGAAGGGAGGAGTAATCAGGGCGGAAGTCAGAACTCAGCTGTCCAGAGTGGGGAATGGTGCTCAGTGGAGAAGTCAGTCAGTCAAAGGGTTTGTGGTGGTGGGTGCAGGTGGTAAGGATTGGGGGGAAGTGAAGAAAACAATGAAGAATCAGAGGAAACCCCCAACACCACGAGACAGCCCTTACTGAGACTGTAGTCTCCCCAACATTCCCCACTCTGCTCCAGGCTGAGTGGATGGTGCTGGCAGTGGGGAGAGGAAGGAGAGGGAAAGGGGCAGTGAGGGAACAAGGCCTGGTCTGTTTCTTTTCCAGGGATCTGACCAGAGCTGGGTGGAGGGAAAGTATGTGTGGGACTTGGCATGAAATGACCAATGACGTTGGGAACTGACCAGGAAATGCCATTCCCTAGGACGTTAGGGTCTCTGAAACTTGGGGGTGGGGTGTGAAAAAGACAGGACAGGGTCAAAGTGGCAGCAGTTGGGGGGTGGGGGAATGGATGGAATCAAAGCCAGAAAGGAAATAGGAGTGTGTGGCTGTCATTCTCTTTTAAAGCAGCTAGAGAAGAGGAGGTTGGAGAAAAATGAAGTCTTGGGTTGGGAAGGTGGCTCAGTGGTAGAGCGCTTGCCTTGCATGCTCGAGGCCCTGGGTTCGATTCCTCAGCACCACATAAGCAAAAAGAAAAAACCCCGGAAGTGGCG